TGATTGAGATGAATGGCATTTTATTTTATTTTTATTTTTCATCATGTTGGGTCAATTTGGTCAATTTCATATTTTCTCTACCAGGTCATCTGTTTACTCATATGACAAAAGGAATTATGTTTTTGCTAGACATAGCAGGTGATGTGATGGGGTGGCATACCTATAATTCTAAGATCTGTTATGAAGAGTAAATCTGTTGTATAAATTATTTTTACCTGCCAAAATTTGTCAAGCACATGATTGTACATGTCATATGCACTGGTCAGTATTAAATGTAATTTTAATTAATAATTTTTTTTCTTTGAAACCATCATTCACATTTAACACCTAATCTGACTTTTAATCTGGATCCGTATCCGAGACATGTCTGGATTGATCAAGTTCAAACTTCACACACACAAGGTACATCATGTCACAAATATGTATGTGCATTTGTTTCATGATCCCATTAACGATAGCCAAATGGCGGCCGCTTTAAGGCCGAAAATGCATTGAAATCGCACATTTTCACCATTCTGAACCCGGATCTCAGTTATGCATGGACGGATTTCATTCAAATTTGGTACTTACATTAAACATAATAGGACCTTGATGCACGTCATTTTTTTTTCCGGATCAAGTTCGAAATGGCCGACTGGCGGCCATTTTCTTAAAGAATTCAGTTCTGGATCCGTATCCAAGACATGTCTGGATTGATCAAGTTCAAACTTCACACACACATGGTGCATCATGTCACAAATAGATATGTGCATTTGTTTCATGATCCGTTTAACAATAGCTGAATGATGGCCATTTTAAGACCGAAAATGCATTAAAATCACATATTTTCACAATTCCGGAACCAGATCTCAGTCATGCATGGATGGATTTTGTTCAGATTTAGTACAATGTGTTGTACATATGCAGGTGCATTTCGGTCATGATCTGCTTTGAATGTATATGTCACTCAAATATGAACGGAACGGGGACGTGTCATTGACAATGACTTGTTTTTCTAATATTTTAGTATCGACCTAAGTATTTTTATCTATGTAATTTTGCTTATATCATCACATGGTTTAGAGACTTTTATAAAGATGATTTATTGAGGGAATATTTATCATTGTTTCTAGATTTGTTCTCCTAATT